CTAAGTCACTCACGTCTATGTGCATACAAAGGCAACAGGTGTAATAAGAGCTAGTGGAGTGCGTTCCTGCACACGGCGGTAGACATGAAAGACCAGCCTTTTGGTGAGCTGTTTAACCCAATTTTGTGCTGTTTAATCGGACGTCTCGCTACACAGTGCGGTATGGTATAGTGCATGCGTCCATCGGGAACACAACCACAACCAGACACCGCCAGAGAACGGGGGAGGAGGCAGGCTGCCCTTCTTCCCCACTGTTAGCAACGCATGTTTTACTGAGCACCATAGAGGACTTCCTTTATTTATTTTATGGCAAGCACTCAGCGAGCTCCGACCCTACCCCACCCACCCCTCCGTTATTGAGAATTTCTGGCTGTTGCCCCTGGACTGTAACGGTGCATGTTTGTTTCATCTATGGATCATTTCATCGCTTTCTGCACACAAGATCCGCTTCTGAAACATTTTTTTCTGGCATTCTGTAGTATGGTGATGTAAAAGGGAGCGAATGATATTGTTACAGAAGGCAAAAGCGATTAGTTACTTCGGCCACAACAAAATTTCCTGATAAATTTCATGCAACAGTCATTCTCGGCTGTTCTTAGGTTCGTACCGCGGAGCCTACGGGCTTGTTGCGGGCGGGTACCAAGCAGAGGCTAGATCATGAGGGTGTAAGTGAACCACATGTGAAATATTACGTTTATGTGTACGAACTGAGTGACTGAGCACGATCCCTATTGGCAATACCTCAAAAACTTTCGGAACCATGTAGGCCAAAGCCACCAAAATAAGATGAAGCATCAACAGCAAGGCTCTAACATGCATCGCACAGTGAAGAAATGCCGACCTACGCAAATAACCAATGCAGTGCGGCCGCCCTTCTTCAAACTCATTAACTCAAACCTCAACTGCGACGCCTCTAGAGTCAATCACGTCGCCCAACTCTTTTCCAGAAACCGCCTCCAAGCGATCACACGTGTCTCTGAGCCGTTGGCTGACTGCGGTCAGGCAGCGGAAGGCGCCGTGGGACGGTGTATTGCCCAGCTCGACCCCCGACTGCAGCCAGCGCGATGGTGATTGTAGGCCGTCAGCGCCTTGCTGGCCGCCGGACCCAACGCCACCCTTGAAACACGTCAGCCTTGCTGGTACCCGCAGACATCGGCTGGGTCCACACAGGGAACAACGGCTATCACGTGAGGAGCGGGGCAAACGGCAATGGACTTCGCCGTTGGCGGACGGGTCAAGAGAAAAACCGGCCAAGAGCAGGACCAACATGCAAGCACGGCTGCACAAGTATGAGTGGTGAGTATGCAACACGAGAAACCACAGATGGACCCCCTCTGTCAATCAGCCGATGTGGTGCGCCCCCCCCCCCCCCCCCCCCCCCCCCAGATCCAGAATCCAGCGGTAAGTACATGCGCCTTTCAATTGCCACTCAGTTGTAGATACTTGGTTAAAGTTAGTTTGAAGGCGAATTTATGACAGCGTGCCACGGGCGCAAGGGAATCAATGCAGACAAACACAAGATCTTACCTTCATTTTCTTGTTGAGAACCGTCCCCCAAGATGGGAAGCAGCCGCTACTCAATTGATGGGATTCGATCCATCGCACCACTTCCTTCCAGGTCAGCCTCGTCGATGAAAATGAATCTCCTTTGCGTCACGAACGGACTTGATGACAAAGCGGTCAGCCACATGGAGCCTGAGTCGTCCGACTTGCCAAATGCCGAGTAGGATTTTGTCCTCGTGACGGTTAGCCCCAGCTCGCGCTGGTAGCCTGGGGCGAGACACGGGTCACGAAGGTCACGGTTAACGAGCGCGCTGGAAGTCTCACGAGTTTTGAGCTCAGCTGTCCATGAAGGTCTTCCAGAAGGGGCTCTATCTTAAGTAAATAGGTTTACATTTAATAATCTAAACTGCTCTGGTGGTGTGAACTACCATGAGCAGGTTTTAGATCAGAAGACTTTGTTCGGTTGCTTGGTGCAAAATACCAAGAAACGATAGCTTGGTTCTGACGCATGCCTGATCATTTGGGTTCGCAATTTGGTATGTGAATCTCATACTAGTTAGGACTTCAGTAATCTAGTGCAATGTTATTCCCAGCCTGATCAACCGAGTACCTGATCTCATGAAGCTGACAAGTTATCCTTGATTTGCTCAGTCAGTTCACCAACTGCAGTCAAATACTTCATGACGTGAATGTTGGGAACGAAGAGTACCATGTTCTGTTCGCCGCAACCGGTTGGTTGCCGTACCAGCGACTCCAGGTTCTGAGAAGTACAGAAAGCTTGAACATATCTGCTTTGGCTTTAAACGGCCACAGTTAACAGCATCCATGATAGCGAGAGGGAATCACATAAATGACCGTAAATGAAAATGACTAGAGCAAAAGTGGGACCGTGGCCCGTACGTTACACAGCTGGGAGCATAAGGATGTGCCAACAGAAAAGGCCATGACTTCTACAACAGGTTACTCGACAATTACTTCAGCCTCACGCGGATATATTATGTCGAACACATCCAGCGAACATCTGTCATTGCGGACAGTACGCAAGTGACGTACGTCAATGCTGGGTCCCAGCAGGTCTCTGACGACGGCGATCTGAGCCCGCTCGGAGTCGGGCACCAGGTCGGCCGGCAGAAGCAGCGGCCAGTCAACCTCCCGTCTGTTCGGTCCGCTCGACAGGTCGGCACCCTCCGCTGCCGGCGTCCGGGTCGGGTCAGGGAAGCGGTACCCAAACAGGGCGAGCCCTACTGCGGCACTGGAACACGTCCGTAGCCATGCGGCGGGACGATGAAAGCCGCGTCGCGATCAAGGAAACTACGCCAACACACGGCTGAGCCTACGTGCGTCCCAACACTGCCAGCAACGCCGCGCCCTCCAAACCGTCACTAGCCTGCAGCTACACCGGCACCGGCCTTAGTCGTTCCGTTAACATCCGCTTTGGCAGCGCACTCACGGCTGATGCACATGAAGAAGGAATGGACGACTTCATGCTCGAAGCCCTCCGGCTCCACCAGAATCGGCCTGGTCACGGCATCCCTGCGCAGATGGTAGTCGTGTTGGCTGCATGCATTCACCGCAAAATGGGAAATCGGTTGAGAGCAGTTACGCCTTCAGGTCTAATTGAAACGAAAAAAAATGCTGACATTTTGATTTTTCAGCAGATACCTGTATGCCATTCAAGGGCACAAACGTACATGCACCTGACTGAATAGGGAACACTACCGGTTCATTTGCAACTCTTAACATCCCACCCAAACCAGGGGGTCTGGGCTCGTGTCTCGGTTACGCACACCTGCCGTGTTTTAAAGCCGACTTCACACGGCGTGCGCCCACGCTCCGTACTCCCGCAACGCGCAACGCCACGCACCTGAAGTAGGGCACCACCCCTGAGCCCACACTCGGCGGGGAAGTCGGAGTACACTTCAGCCACCACGGTGATGTTAACGTCGCCGAGCTGGCCGGGCCGCAGCCGGTACGGCACGACCTCGGCCACGCCGGTCGACCACGCACGAGGTCACCACCGGCGCCGAGAGCGTCTCGAACTCGTCCGACGCCACCAGTGTCAGCTTGACCTGCAGCCACAGGCGCCGGGGCATGTTTAGCGTCCACAGGACCGGCGGGATATCGCGTGGGGCCAGTAGGGCCCGAGCGGACAGCTAGTACAGCTAGTGCTGGATTCAGTCTTATCCGGCATGTGGCGTGTGGTGACGCCGAGCACCGACAGAGATAACACGAGCGAGCAAGATAACACGAGCGGAACAGAGCGCTCAGGAGAGCAGCGAGGACCCACCGGCAGTGCCTCTTCGTTGTAGTTGAGCACCGAGACCTTGAGCACGAGCGTCTCGCCGCGTTTCACCGAGTAGGGCAGCGTGTAGCTGAACGAAGAACGGCTGGAAGCTGGTGAGGGAGGCCGACGGCGCCACGCCAAGGCCGGCCATCTCCGAGCTGCACACGGCTCCGCCTACCCACTCGGTGATGGTGTCCGGCACCTTCTGTGTCAGCGTCACCGAGCCGTCGTCCCTACAGGTGCGGGGTGGCCGGCTGTGACACTGGCCAGGCGACCGAGGAGCGGCACGAGATCGTGACTTGATGGTGTAACTGTCCTAGTTCCTGCATGTGGCATGGCGAGTCTTAATGTGAACATGACTAACGGTACGGAATCGTGACTTAATGGCGTAACGTTGTCCTATTTCCTGCATGTGAGGAGAGGCACGGAATCCTGGCTTGATGGTGTAGCTGTCCTAGTTCCTGCATATGGCATGGCGAGTTATAGTGCTGAAAAGGACCGACGCTTAGGGTATTAGAATGTGTTCGGTAAAGGGCAAAATCAAGAAATTGGTGTCATTATTGTGATTAGACTCAAGTATACCACTGGCCAGGTTTGATTTCAGAACCAGTGATTGCATGATAGCTTGATCTAGCCGACTTCGTTGGTATTCCAAGGCTATTCTCAGCGCAGTAACACATAATGTTTCCACAACCAGGAGATTGCAAACATGTTTCCTAACATCACCTTGCAAGTTGTATTAGTTTCGAATCTTTAGGTGGACGCATTATACACGCTGTGCTCAATGGATACACGTATACGTGACCGCACTCGAACGACATAAAACCATAGCTAATCGTGTTCATGAAAGTTTCAGCAAACCCTTGAGCAACATCCGAGTACGAGAATCAACGGCTCAAGCCCACATCCAAGGCAGCCTCGTCCTAGTCGGTGCGTCCACGTTTGTCCACTGACCCGACTGTGTAGAGGTCGAACAACCACGTCTCGCGGAAGTCGGTGCGAACCTCGTCAGGCACCTCGGACGGAGGCGGCGCCGGGGCGTCGGAAACCACTGCTGAGGGGACCGGGTCCGGGACTGCTGGCATCGGTGGAGTGTGAGCACGTCGCCTAAGAGCAGCGAGTGCATGCTCTCTTTCCCTTTATTAACTGTACTCTACGAGAACTGTGTAAGACCACGACGCCATAGGCCTCCGAAAAGACACAAATCAGTCGTGGATCATCATCGTATGGTTGATGGGTGTGGAAAACAATCATGCATGAGGTTATTACTACACTGCATCACCACCCGTGACTAGCGCGGGTGAAGGACTTGCGTCAAATTAGCTGTATCAGAGAGCAATCCGTTTCTTGGCTTTTGGTGCCGGGTATTGGGTCGGCTAGATGGGAACGCACCTTTGGTGGAAGTGGCGTAGCTGGAAAATGTTCGTTGTTGTGTGGCTGTGGTTGTCCAAACTTGTGTGAAGAGGCCAGCGGCTATAGACCAATCGGTGCTAGTAATAGTGCCTGGCTGGGTGGAGATAAGGCGCCAAGGATAAGCTAGGCGGATTTTGGCAATGCAGTTGCGCGCCTCGGTGACAAGGTCCGACAACACCATGACTGAGCTGCTCTGAAACAGAACGGTCCCAGGCGTGCCAGGTCAGCACAGACACGACCATCGAGCAATGCAGCTACAGCATATGACGCCGAAGGTAACGCCAAGTACGAAATATGCACGTCAGCTGCAAAACACTGCGAAAAAAGCAGTTTCTTGCATGTGTGTCGGCAGCACCTGACAGAAGCGTTGTCAGTCAGTTTTCGGAGTATTGTCCGTCTCCTTACAGTTAAATCTGCATTCAGTTGGTCGAATACTTACATCGAATGCGGTGAGCGAATCGGCATGGGTCGAAGCCCAGCCGTAATACCGCGGTGGTGTAATAGTAATACCCGACTGGAACGGCCTCCTCCGCCTGGCCGGCATGGCTGGTGGGGAGCCAGGGGGGTCCGAGGGCAGCGGCAGTCCGTCTGGCACACACCACAGAGTTACGTCACCCACACGTGAGACAGACGTAAGCGACGTCACACATGACCTGGTGGCACAGACTGACGACCTGAGGTCGCTTAGCCCCGACGTTATTGGCTGTTCAGTGTTTGGATGTTCGATGACAACGGAAAACAAGAGCAGGCCCGACGAACCCAACCTGAACGTGGAAGATCGGAACGAACAACACTAGTGAATTGTCTACAACCTTAACATTGGTTTATCTAGTTCAGCCATTGGATAATCTCCCCCACATTATTAACATCAAATAACCATACATCCCGTATACGCTTCCGAAGTATCCATTTTAGAGGGAGTGCTTCATTTTTATATGGGGTTTTGAACTGAACTAGCCATCTTCAAGATCATTTCGTCCAGTTCACAGTTCTGCCCTTCTTGAAACCTAAACCTCGATTGTTTCTGAGGTTCACGCCGGGGAAGATGTGTAAACTATTTCGGGGAGACTATTTCAAGGTCACCCAGACATCCATGCCGCCATAATAAAGCTATTTAGATCCTGTAATTTTATTAGCCACACGGCAATCAAAGGCAAAAATTTTGTTGAGTCGTCCATGCCTGGCGTTGGTGAGCACGCCTTCCGGACATAATGGCCGTTAGTTGGCTGTCAGTCAATGTAATGTAAGGTGCGATAACAGTAACAGTAATAAGCAGTCTTTTCCACTCACAAGCATACCTATAGCTGTGAGCGATCTTATTTCATCACATGTGATGCATGCTTCAACGCCTTCAAATGTTTGTCATTCCCTCTAATGCCACGCGTCTTGCCCGAAAAATAGTGTGCACTCCTATGCGGTGTTGCAAATGCCTGAGCCGCACTGACTGTACTCACGTTTGGCCCTGCAGTACTCGTCGTCGTTGATCTGACTGGTGCCAACACGCGAGGTGAGAACTCGAAGGCTTTCATAGATGTCAGACAGAGTGATCTTGTTCTTATCGCCGAGTAGGCTCACCGATTTGTCAACCACATCTATAAACGGAGTTCATCGTGATATAACACTACACATTCACCTACTGATTCATTTCATCACGCATTCAACTATTCAGCCCTAAGAAACGTGATGCTTTGTGCGAGAAATCATAATTTGTAGAAAGGAAAAAGAAACGGTCGCTTTTTAACGTCGCGAATCATACCAAAAGCCAAACAAATATTAAGTATGTCGCTAGTGTTTTCAGCCGGCATACGGCATCTGCGCCGAACAGTATGTACTGAACTTTGTTTTGCGTTAGATAAGACGCATAATGGTATAATCCACCATGGGGGGACTGAACTTCTAATCATATTACCACGCGCCCAGGTGGCCGGTTGAATGCCTTTCGCTTGGGCGGTGGCTGGAGGGGGAGCAAGTAACCCCTAAGGCTTCACCACCTGAGAAGCCACAACTGCCATATTTACAGAGTGGGTAGGTTGGTATGTGAGTCAGAATCACTTAATTGTAATCACTTAGTTGTTATCAGTTGAGTCAAAATTTGAGGTTTCTTGGTCATAGCATTTGGGTCAAATGGGGCAAAAAGTCTAACAGCAGACTGGCGTCTAAAGTGTGCCAAGACCTCCTCATGCAACCGCCTCCAGCCTAAATACGGTTCTGAGGAAATTATTACCGATGTTCATTTAAGGTCAGTTACCTTATGCAGCCTTAAAGTCATGGTTAATAAATGCATATGTTATGTGAGCAGCAATAGCCTTATTCCTCTGAGAAAAACCAAGAGAATGGAGAAATAGATTGGTGTTATATTGGCATCATATTACATTGTTTGATTAAGTTATCCTATCTTACATTTAACCAATCTATTTCTCCATTCCCCTGGTGTTTCTCCGAGGAATCAGGCCATTACTTCTGTCTTATCTAAGTGAAAAATATTCCTCGCGAATGCACTGACCAACTTAAGCGCTATGTTATCTTTGTTTTTAGATTTGAACATGCGTCAAGGATTAAGCTAGGTGGTTTGCTCCTGAAAAGATGTTGACCGGTGTACTTTTAGGTCAGTGACGTACTCTGACGTTTAAGAAGTCCACGAAAGATGTGTGTTCTGGTCCCCGACATTAATAAATTCGAAATGAGCACCATAAGCTACCACATGGAGCATAGCCTCAAGTAAAAAATATGTTGGTTTTGACCTCAGTCTGGCCTTTACGCTTGGCCCTAGGTCAATGTCATTTATTGTAATTCTCAAAGGGACTGTTTGATCGCCCAGAGAAGCTATATCAGAGATGCAATGTTTCGGCTAAAAATCCGTTGTTTCATCAGATTGAAGGATATTCTAGAAATTGTCTCAGCTGATAATCACCGCCAGACCTTAACCTGCAATAGATCAGCGACCTCACGTAGTGCGTCTAATATTTGTATAACAAATTATCCAATACTCGTTTGATTACAGTTTTGCAACATTTAACGCAACACCGCGATGCACACCGCGTTGTTCGGAAATTATGTTGTAAATCCACGTGAGCGCGTGCTAAGCTCTCTGAAATGTTCTTCACACTCGAGGTATTCGACCTCTCGTGAATTTTTCATAACACAAGTAGGTAGTCGCGTGGTACGTAGTAACACGAACATGATAATGATCCTTTTTATGTAAAGTACTGTACACAAACGAACGTGCACAAGCAGGGAGGGTGCATGGTGTGTTCAGATCAGTACAACGGAGCTATGCGCGCGCAAAAAAGAAAGAAAGCGAAACTCTAGTGTTTGATCTTACAAAAAGGTTGGCAGACTGCACTTGGTTGACGAGCTCGAGAGTTGGCCTCAACGACAGTGAAGTAATTTGTATCATGACTTCATGCATGGTCAATGGTCACATGCATGTGGAGCCACTGATGCCTGGAGCACTTGCGCTGTTGCATGACATTATCCTCCGACTTGATGACGGGGGTCCTCATATACATCGCACAAAAGCGGGGTGACACGCTTCGCCGCGAAGTACACACACGTTTGCAGGCATGACAAATATCATTACGTAACGATACAACAGTACTTTTTGCCTTATTCCCCGTAGGTTAACCAGGAGAAAGGAGAGACAGATGTATTTATATTTCGGCTATAAGGAATTGACCGAAAGGAGTACCAGTAGTAAAATTGGAAGTCGCCTGCCGACCTAACAAATTCTTAGGTTAAAAACAGCTGTGGCTCGCTGTTTGAAGAAAAGCAAGTATCAAGGGGGATCGCCAGTCAATTTTGAATTTACTCCTAATTTGTGTTATCTCCCCTTTCTAATTATTCAACCAGGAACAAGGCCCACAGGGCTGTCTTATATAAATGCATCATGTCCCTCGCAAATGCACTTAGAAAATGACGTAGTCACTACATAACCTCTCATAGAACGGCACGCACTATAGCAGTGACACAACATAACAAAGAGGACGGAAACTTCGCAGACGCTGGGACTGAAGTAGTTTCGGACTTTGCACGATCACACCAATGACGTAAGCACGCAATGCACACTGAAAGCAGCCAGCCGTTGATGAGCTTGGCTTTAGGTAAAGTATTGGCCAAGACAAATGTTGAGAAGGGGGACACGAGCGGACGCTGACGATAAATTATCCCGTGGATGGTGCGTGTCCACCACTCACCAAGAACCGACTATCACGCCCTAAACGGAGAGTTCCCCCCTCCCCTCCCCTCCCCCCCCCCCCCCAAGACCGGCTGTCACTTTATGGACGGAGTGTACCCACCACTCACTGCAAGAAGATTGTCAACCCGTTGTCGGAGAGTACCCACAACTCGCTGAGAGCTGACTGTCTTCCCATGGGTGGAGTGCACCTACCACTCACTGTAAGAAAGCTATCACTCCGTGGACGGAGAGTGCCCACCACTCACCGAGTCCACAAAGGGAGCGGGGAGCTGCCGTGACCGTCAGATGCACGGTGTCCCGCGGCTGGACGCGGGCAGGCGACCAGCGCAGCGACACCTGGTTGTCCAGACAGCGCTCCGCAGCGTATGACTGGCTGTCCGCGATCACCTCGCCATCAATCACCATGTAGACCAGAACATGGAAGCCCGAGGACATGGATGACGTCACTGGGATCGTGAGCGCCACCTGACCTGTTGACGCAGACCGGTTGGTGTTTCCCTGCTGCCCGTGGCTCGCTAGTCACATGGGTAACAGCTGGGTGATGGCGGTATGCCAGACGCACAAACTGTTACGGGGCTGACATCTTGGTACAGACACGTGCAAACTTCAAGATGGCCATAGTTTTCTCACTCCTCAGTCATGCACGGCATGATCAGCTGCGTGGTGTCATCGCCACTCCTTCAGCTATAATGTCCGTTATGTACTGTGTACTGTTCTGGGCCAGGCGCTTCAAATGCGGCGGTGCTTGACTGTGTTGGACGCAGTGCGTGACGCTGTAACGGCGCAGAGCGATTTCCATCGCGAGTGCAGCAAAATCGTGCATCAACAAGACAATGAACTCAGGCCAGCTCTTAAACTACTCGCTATGCACCACAAACCGCCCAGTGTCAGGGACATATCTTCAACCGCTCCGTCTATCGTGACACTGATTAGGCGACCCAGCCGCACCAGCCGGTGACGCCTCTCTCACCGACGGGGTGTGGCCCGGACACCGTGGGCAGGTCAACGACCGTGCCCTCCTGCAGTGCAGAGGCGTCGACCGCCTCGGAAAACGTCACCGGCACTAAGTCCGCCAGCAAGATGTCGCTGTTGGCCGTGACCTGACGCGCCCGGCGAACACAAGGTCAACACGCTTCTCCGACTGCAGGCCTCGGTTCTGCTTCGCGAGTTGCAACAGCATGACCGCTATAGGCACATTTTCAGTGGCAGTGGCAGGTGTACAAGCCTTGTACAATTCACATTAACAGTGGCAGGTGTACAAGCCTGTCTTCTTAAATAGCATAGCTTCTATTAACGCAAGTAAATAACGACGTCTGGTGTCAAAACATTTTTATCTGTTGCCAATATCAAGAGCACGATATCCAAAGTCAGTCTGAATCAGTCAGATTGGCAGAATTAATCACAATTTGAATCAGAGTCGGGCCAAAGCCAGGTCCGAGTTTGAATCACATCAAGGCATTTTACATTCAGAGACCTACAAGGAAAGTGCCTTATTTTACCTCCCGCGCAGCATGACTTCTTCATTTGCAGCTTTCGAATGTTGTCTGTACAATACACTCTCAATGTAGCTCACCTGGTAAAACAGCTCGAACTGCGATCCCAGACGGGTCGTGAAGAAGACGTCAATGTGGGCCTCAGCGCCGCACGTGAACTCCTTGCGGGGCAGCCGAAGCAGCTGCACAAAGGCTCCTGACTCAGAAGACCAGCCCTCAACGTTGTACTTGAGACTGGGCGATGTCATCCATGTTGATGGGTACCACTTGCGGCCGGGCGGAAGACCAACTGCTTCCGCCGTACGGGTACCTGGTCTCGGATAGGCGCGGTATCGTGGCCTGCAGCGAAAGTAACCGGGCTGACATTCCACGGAAGTTTGCCCGCGCGGTGAGCGCGGGTAGCTGGGTGGTTGCCCACGCGTACACGTTCATTGGAATGTCGCTCTCGCAGTGATTAAGTTTTCCCGACTTCACGTCGCCGGCATGGGAATGGTGCTGCTTTTACCCCGCGTTCGGGTGGGGGGTCAATTTGCCCTCTCTTCCAAAAGTTATTGCAAAGTAAGTGGCTAACGGCACCGCAAAGCCGCACTTAAGTTTGCGTAGTCGCAGGCAATTGAATAGCGGATCTGCTAGCTCACCAAATCAGATGCACCTTGTACCGTCGTTGACCTATGGAGGTCAAAATCACACCGAAGCCGTCAACAAGGACAGCTAGAGAATCGTTCAATCTGATGCGACAAGACAGTATTAGAAGAAGCCATGCATTTCTAAATTAGTTTCTTATGTGATAAATCAATTGAATTTGGAAAGCAACAAAGTTTATTGCCCTAGGGTCAGGTGCGAGTTCCAGACCGAGGTCAAACCAACATACTTTTTACTGGAAAGCCTTCTTATTGAACGGTTTCTGATGCATATCTCAAATTCTTAAATACAGGGACTGCAGCAGACATACGTTATAGACTTCTTATATGCTAGTGGGTCGCTGGTCTTAAATGACCCAGGTCTATCCTTTTTGTTTTGGAACGTACCGCCTAGCGTAATCCTTAAAGCGAATTCAAGTTCAAAATCAAATAATCTTCTTTATTCCATATACCCATCATCAGAAGGTCAAACAAGGTCACCGAACTAAAATGATCGCCAGTGACCTTTTGTTTAGAACCGGAATTTAGGTTGAAGGCGGTCACATGAGGAGATCTAGGGGCAGTTTGGACATCAGTCTCCTTTTTGATACTCTTTGACCCCATTTCACACAATGCCATGACCTATGTTGATACGGACATCAACTGTTGACACAAATGAGTTCGTATACCCCCGAACTCAATTTGTGAGTTGCTGTGAGCTGTGAGCTTTGTGTTTCTATTTTCTTTAGTACTTGATATCACAGGGCGTCAATTTGGCTTCCCACCCGAGCGAAGTGCATTTAACCGGCCACCTGGGCGTGTATTAAGCTACGTAATCGCTAGACCATGAATAGGCTATGACAATGTGCGTCGATTACAAATCTGAGACCTTTCCACCATGCTAACTTATGGACACCTGAAAGGCATTGTCAGCCACAACTAAGTAAGGAGGATGAAATAGACGAAATCGTCTTCCTCAGCGCGCAAAATAAACCACATCCACACATGCACACGCACACGCACACGCACACGCACACGCACACGCACACGCACACGCACACGCACACGCACACGCACTCGCACACGCACACGCACACGCACACGCACACGCACACGCACACGCACACGCACACGCACACGCACACGCACACGCATACGCACACGCACACGCACGCGTACAGGCACACGCCCTTACAAACACGCACAAGAACACGCACACGTACTCGCACACGCGCACGCGCGCAAACACACACACGCACGCACGCACGCATGCACGCACGCATGCACGCACGCACGCAAACACGCATGCACGCACACACGCATGCACGCACACACGCATGCACGCACGCACGCACGCATGCACGCATGCACGCACGCACGCAAACACACTCCGTCTCCCTGCCGTTTCTGTTCTCTTCATAGAACGCTCAGCTTTCACTAGTCTACTGCGTGAAACCAAACAGGAGAGACGAAACGTTGCGAGAGCTAGACCACCCACGCACATTTTTACCCTTTTACCCAACTCTTCACATGGCTCAGTATGGGGTCGATCGGGAGCGAACACATGATCCCAAGAACGGGCGGTCCAGACGCGCAACTTGTTTGCGGCGGAGGTGCACAACAAAATGTTTTCATTAAACACTTAGGTTAGCGCAACGCACGCATACAACATTTGTCCCATGGTATAAAAACATCAACGCGCGTACGCGATTTACTTATATTTATGTGTCTGTATCAAGTTGTCTAGTGTTAGCATGTAGTGACAAAGATATTGATGTAATGAATAGTATAAGGTAGGGGCAAGCGCCGCCGGGGCCAGCGAGCGCGTAAGTCCCTATTGCTGATGTTGATACAAAAAACGGAGCCCCAGACTCGCTAACCCGAGTTTCTTGCCGTTTGCTATCACAACAAACGCCACCATTTTTAAGCGTTTTATCAAATACCTGAATCGATATGTCTTCGATTTTCTGATCTTGAGGTGGCACAGTGAACGCGACCACACCTTTGCTGTCAGACGTGACGTTCAGACAGACCGGATCGGCAGAAGACCTGCAAACGTACAGTCGTGCAGAGTTAGAGAGCATCACTGCCCGAGTTACTGGGAACTTCCCAGTCATTGGGGACTACACTCGTTTAACATGCGTCCGGGTGGCCAATGACAGCGACGCGCTTCGGGTCGGGGAAGGTGTCAAGATAACCCTTGACATCTCCAAGAGCAAGTAATCTATGGATACTAAATATACAGTAGGGATGGGTAGACCAATATGTGAACTCACTCGTGTTGGGTTTTAGGGTCGTAACTTTTGAGTCAGAGAGTTCAAATAAATTTAAGCACCAGCTTGGCGTCAAAAGGGCCCACATACATTCTCATGGAACTACCTTTAACCTAGATTCATTTCTTAAGCAAAGGTGCCTGGTGTTAATTTCAGGTCAGTAACTTTATTTGATCTTCAGAAAGTCACGGTAACCAACTACAAAGTTGTGAGTCTTGAAGGTTACAAGCAGCAAGTATAACGCCGAAAGGCGTGCTATTAACAACAGTAGGTCGATGGGGACCATTTTAGGCCAGTGATATCTGTTCTTTATAAAGTCCAAATAAGAGGCTTGCTGGTGTTTCTGTGAGCAAGAAATTCAAAATAAGCGTGAAAAACACATTGACTAAAAAGCAAGCCCTCAAGTTCGGCTCAAAAGCTCCGTAGACAGCTGTAACATCATTCAAACCTGACACATGGTCATTGAAATTTGTCAAGATCTTAAATAATATTTCTAATTGTCCAATAAACCCTCTCAAGGATGTATGGATTTCGTTAACAGTCTGTTATCGCATACAATACATAGTTGATAACAATTCACTAGGAGTTGCCTTCACTGACACAAATGGCTTGAATTTAAACTGTCAGAGGTCAACGACCTTACATGATACATTAATTCCATTATCACAAACTGTCGGCTATTGAATTGTCCACAGCTAGACGCAGTAAAGCAAATCTACGAAGCGCGGTTTGGAGGTCATTCTGGAAAAAAATCTTCGGGGGAGGAGTTAGATTATCCCCACCCAAGCGCGTGTTTAAGTATGTTGTCTATAATCTGTATATCGGAATATGCCTATGACCAGGACTGCCGGTCAGCTCAAATTTCACAAAGATCGGGGTAACCAGTTTACTTTCTTATGTTTGGCATTTACATAGATAACTATTATTTCAGCGACGGCCAGGTTTTAAGCTAGCTACGATCCTGGCTTTGCGTCAGCCCATTGTCACATGCCAAGTTCTTCTTGGGACGTCGAAGCCTTCGGTTATTTTCAGCACAAGAACTCATAATGTTAAAGCACCAGTGCATTTCTGCTGGTCAATCTCATAAAATCGGGGTGAGAACAAAGACCGAAGACACTCACTTCATGGCGAATCCGAGGTCTGTCGTCGTCCGGTGGGTCTCAAAACACAGCCTGACCAGCTCACCGGGAGCTGGTGTGTTGTCCGGGTGGCGCACCGTGATCTGAATGTGGCGGCGGACGCAGCTGAGTTAAAGACGGAGCCAAGCACCTCCAGCTATACTCGACACAGCTGAGTTAAGGACGGAGCCAAGCACCTCCAGCTACACTTGACACAGCTGAGTTAAAGACGGAGCCAAGCACCTCCAGCCACACTCGACACAGCTGAGTTAAAGACGGAGCCAAGCACCTCCAGCTACACTCGACACGGCCGAGTTAAAGACGGAGCCAAGCACCTCCAGCTACACTCGACACAGCTGAGTTAAAGACGGAGCCAAGCAGCTCCAGCTACACTCGACACAGCTGAGTTAAAGACGGAGCCAAGCACCTCCAGCTACACTTGACACAGCTGAGTTAAAGACGGAGCCAAGCACCTCCAGCTACACTTGACACAGCTGAGTTAAAGACGGAGCCAAGCAGCTCCAGCTACACTCAACACAGCTGAGTTAAAGACGGAGCCAAGCACCTCCAGCTACACTCGTCACAGCTGAGTTAAAGATGGAGCAACTCACCTCCAGCTACACTCGACACAGCTGAGTTAAAGACGGAGCCAAGCACCTCCAGCTACACTCGACACAGCTGAGTTACAGATGGAGCTAAGCACCTCCAGCTACACTTGACGCAGCGATGTTGGAGAAGGAGCCAAGCATCTCTAGCTACACTTGACACAGCCGAGTTAGAAACGGAGTCAAGCACCTCTAGCTACAGTTGACACAGCTGCGTTAGTGACGAAGCCAGGCACCTTTAGCTACACTTGACGCAGCTAACTTAGAAACGAGGCCATGCATCTCTAGCTACACTCGTTACAGCTGAGTTAGAGACGGAGCCAAGCACCTCCAGCTACACTCGACACAGTTGAGTTAAAGACGGAGCCAAGCACCTCCAGCTACACTTGACACAGCTATATTAGGGAACGGGCCAAGCACCTTCAGCTACACTTGACACAGCGGAGTAAGAAACGGAGCCAAGTATCTCTAGCTACACTTGACACAACGGAGTTAGAAATAGAGCCAGGCACATCCAGCTACACTTGACGCAGCCACTCGGCAGCAGAGCACCAGGACACACATACTTGGTGTACCGACAGACAAGCTCTGTTATCTTTGGGTGGTGCAGCACGCTTAGTAGGATTCCTCCAGGCGCATGAGAGTTTGGCGCATGAGAGTTTGGCTGCTGCGGTGTTTAGCGTACGTTGATCTACACAATCCCCAGGAGGGGAGGAGCTGACCCAGCGTAAAGTCGCCAGATCCCACGTTGGCCACTGAAATACTTGTGATTAGCAGGAGACCCAACGTGCTTCACGTCAGCATTGATACACTTGCGGTATCTGATCACCATGCCGTGTCCGAATGTAATGCAGGCTTCAGGGGTCGCCACCTCACAACCAGATAAAAGCACCAATAGTGCAATTCTGCAAGTAGTCCATGGTACTCTATCAGGCATTTGCACGTTACGAGCACGTTGCGTTTGAAAACAGAGGGGATATTAGGAGAAAGGTAAAGAAAAAAAAAGAATTTAAAATAAAAGTGTTATTTCTGACTAACCATTTTTTATCATGCTCATTCCAAATTCCGAAGAAGCTGGCCTTCAAAAGAATTTGCTCTCATCTCACCGACAACGAAATCCTTTCTAAGAAACTACGCGGGCCCACAAACACGCACCCTAAATTCAGGTGTTATATCTCACGCACCAACGTCAATGAGCGTTGAACGGAAAGAGACCGTAACGCTTGTGTAATTGATCATCTCCAATCCTTATTTATCAACATCCAGCATGCTTGTCTTGCGAAACACAAAACTAAATGCGTCACCACTTACATTTGCATGGCTCGTCTCAGCTAGAAGCTTAGCGACCGGGACCAATTGTTCGCGTCGGCGCAAGTCCTTCAGAGTCAAATCTATCTCTGCTCGCTGCCTTCAGGCAAAATACAGAAATGCCATTTTCCACGCGGATGATGCCTCTTTGCATTTCTCCCAAACACAAATCAGCGAGAATCCACACCTCCTTTACGCCACGATCCCGATGCCTTCCAACAAATTGGCGCTTAGCCCGTTTGGCACGTACCTGATCGGCGAAGGGAAGTCTGGCTTGAAATATTTGCTTCTCTGGTTTTCAGTGTCCAACTTCAGCTCTTGGTACTCAATGGTGAACGTTTTGGTGCTGTTAATCGTGACGTCAGTGCCGTCTTCTGTTACTTCGGCGGTGACCTTGAAACTGCGGGGTTTGGATCCGAAGCCGAGGTCTCTGCTACTGATATGGAACACGGGACAGTCGTCCTCGGAAATCTGCCGAATTGTGTACTGTGTTCAGACGGAGCCGCACCAGTCGGCGGCCGTTTGGGAGACGTTTCCGCCTGCGTCACGGTTTCGACAGGTGACAAACGAAGATTGTATGGCAGTGCAGGTATGCAGTGCATATTGTGGCATCCATGCATATCCTCCGGCATTACAACAGAAACAAATAAGAAGTACCACGTTATGAATTCATTTAGCGGCGTAAGGTACCAGCCGTTTCGAAAAAAGATGGATTGCTAACGTTGAAAAACACTGCTAACGGTTAAAAGCACTGATTGCTGAAGTTGAAGAACACTGATCGCCAACGTTGAAAAAGCTCATTGGTTACGTGCTTGTCAGTGAAAATGGGATTTTTTCAAACACATGATCAGCATGTCCTGCCTAAAAATGATGGAAAGATGGCATTTCTGAACTTCCTGAACAGTCTGAGGCACGGGTATCCATTTGTATTATTTTCGGTGCGCTACTGCCCCTCGCTGTCCGATCCCCCCCCCCCCCCTTTCCAGGTGAGTTTGCCCCGTCCCACCTTCTGGAGCCAAAGCACTGGCAGGGCATTGCAAATACGGAATCCAGATTACCTATATTTTAGTAGAAGCTAACTGTTTTACATGCAAAAAGAGCAAGGAAAATGTCTGGCTGCAGAAAGTTACGTTCTTTTGTCGATACGATGCCATGTGTTACTGGAAATTACAACACACCGGTCAAACGTTGGCACAGAAAATTGTGAGCAAATGTTTAGCCGGCAGCAGCAAAAGAACCGCTGAAACACGCTGACCTCCATTTAACCTCCACATAACCTCCATAACGCGCCAGCCGTGTCAAACACGCTTAACACGAGTGCGATGTTGCAGCCCGCAGCCCGCCTTACGGCTACCAGCCGGGGATTTCCGAGGCAGCCTTTAATGGTCGCACACGCCAGCTTACTCTATTTACTCCGAAAGCCGTAAATGCCCCAACAACGTCTGAAGCCACGTAACGTCGGCCCTGCATCGATTACCGAAGCGTGATTTCGGTGGTCGCTGCTGAACAAAATGATAATGGTGCCCAACGAGAATATCTGCCGCCGAGGTAAAGCGAGGAAACGTATTAGGCCAGTGCTGTATGTTTTTATTCAATTGGGTATAAATCCAAACTCCATTACGGCGAGAGGAAAGTAGATCAAACCTGGGGCGAAACCAATTTTTGTGTATTTAAGGCTAGGGTTTCTCCTGCTCAGCTCCCTAACCTATTTTGCGAAAATGCACCCCTTTGGTGTAGGCTTAACGACCGTGATACGTGACGGGTTCGCCACCAACTTACTCAAGTGCCAGGTCTGAAATTCAGCGCGGCATTTCCCAAGCAGGGACAAGGCCAGGGCCTGCGACTTACATCGGTCGGGGCCACTGTGTCGATCTTGAGAACACAGTGCATAACAAAGGTCATGTATGGTAAGGAATCCAGAACCGGCCTAGGGCAGTGTTCGAAGGAGCCTCGCAGAGGGGTCTTCGATCAAGTGCCGGATTAGAAGGTACAAGTGGCTGGCTGTAGGTCACACTAAGGACACCGGTCTGTAGGGCAGATCCATTTACGGCATTATCATGGACCCTCAAATTTCCGTCGGAAAAGCCTTTACACCGTTTGGGAACACCCAAGGCCAATACGGGCGTCTATTTCGGTCCGAGACTAACAACAGCCAACAGTCGGCCTCATGTTGGTCTAAGCGCTGGGACCCATTTACCAAGTAAAGACAAGTCCGGTGGCGGCGAGTCGCCTTGGTCGGGAGCGGGACCCTTGTAACAATATGTCGTGTCGGTCAGGAGACCACAGTGTCTGACAGATGGTCCCATGTTCGCAATAGGCCCGAGTCGGACACGGCAACATTTGACGGACATGAATAGAGATTAGAAACCGAATGCTAGAGAGCCTTTTGTTGGGGAGGTCTGTCAGTAAAAGTGGATATGATAATGTTCAATGAGAGTTGGACGATCCCTTAACGACCCTTAACGACCCTTAAGTACACTTAGGATCCTATCCCTCTGGGATTCTTGCGCGGAAAATGGTAAGGGGTTGTCTAAGCATTAAATAAGGAATGATCAAAATGAGGTCGAAAATGAACGTCAAAAATGCAAAGGACGTTCAGTCCAGGGGTATCACATTGTGTCATTTCGGATTTCCTGAGCCACCCTGGCCACAATGCTGATTTTGAGGGAATGTTTCCACATCTCAAGATATTAAAGCAAGTATCAGATATGATGCAATCAATTCACTTAAACCTATTGACATGTTTTTAAGTGAAAAAGACTGCTCTAGATGACAACATTTCTCCGCTTTCGTAGATATGCCTCTCCATGCGTCATTACTTTGATTACGTCATGGAAAGTTTGCATGACGTTGAGATGGTGTCAAGTAGCTGTGCAAGATTGCCACTCTAGCACTCACATAAAGAACTCCAACCCGCCAAAAGACGGCAGAAGCGGAGCGGAAGATGTTCGCTTAAGCCAAATATGGTTATGCGCTCATGTTTTGGGCCTCCCTCGTAGCGTTTCTGCACAGTTACACGAGAGTTTAAAACGTATACTTGCGTTTACATACTTGGTTATGGCGGCATTCTCAAGTTATTCAATCAGAAACATCATTTCCGTAATAGCCAGCGACCATGCATAATTTCTTACATTACGCAGCAAAGAACGCGACTCATGGTTGGAACTGGCACAGCTTGCTCATTACTG